TTTTTTTTTTTTTGTTTTTTTTTTTTTTTTTTTTTTTTTTTTCCCCTCCTCCTTCCCCTGCATTGAGATGGATCAGGCTAAGATTCAGTTTCTTTGTGCATGAGCAGGGGCTGGGATAGGCTTTCAGGACTCCTTTGCACCAGTGTTTCTTGCATGTGAATGGTGGAGCTGATGTCATTGTGTTATTGATTGGGATGACAAGTTTGGACATAAATCATTAATGTCTGGGAAAGAGAGAGGGAGGGGAAAAAGGCAACCCACACTTGATAGTTTTCCATAAATCTGCTGTTCATTCCTGCATACGCGATACAGAGGAGGAGACAGCGGGAACAGTTTTCCTGTGCAGCCCGAGGACGATGTGCTTTGCCACTGCTGCCTGAACCATTTTCCTCAGAACATGTTTCCATATTCTGCAGAAAATGGCTCATATCATCAGCAACACTGTTGTGGTTGAGCCTGCCTTTACAGACGTGAGCCAAGGTCAGAAGACTGCCCAGGGGAAGGTCTTGGGTTCTCTTGTTCCCGCAGACCTCACACCCCCAGCAGCATTTCAGACCTGGGCCCACGAAGGAGTAAGAGTGCAGTTCTTGGGAGCTACCACCCCTCTAGCTCCTTTAACTGCCAGCAGGGATTGTTTGGGTGTTTTGGGCTGTAGATTTTTTGCATTGGTGGTCTTAATTTTGTGCAAAAAGGTAGTGCTTAGATTAGTTCATAGCAAATGTCCCTGCGCCCAGCAAGGCACAGGTGTGCAGGGGGCAGCAGTCATTCGAAACTGCTTTCACAGAAGTTCTTCTCAGCAAAACAGACAGCAAATAGCTGAGAGGGAGGAAACCGAAGAGGTACTTGTACCATTTGCCTCTGTGCCTTGCCCCTGCACAAAGTTCATCCAGATGAGTCAGATTATCAGTTCAGACAGCAAGAAAATAAACAGTGTCTGTCAGAGGTTAGCAATAATGCAAGTATTGGTGAGCAGCTGATGTTCGCAGTGTAAATAGTTCAATGGCAGTCTGTCCTGGTACCTGTGGGAAATCTTGTGATGTGTGGAAAGAGGGAAACATGAAAACTGCCTCATAGGAGGAAAGTAGAGAAGGAAATGACATTCCCTTTCTGAAAGCATAGCTCTGATCCTCCTCTTCTCCCCTTGCAGCCGAGCTCACCTCCGCCTGTGTCTAGAACGCTTAAAAGTTCTGATACCGCTAGGACCAGACTGCACCAGGCACACAACGCTTGGGCTGCTCAACAAAGCCAAAGCACATATCAAGGTAAGGGCTGCTTTTCCCAGCTGCTTTCAGTCTGGGCTGTTGGGAAGTGCAATTCAATTGCTCACTCTTGCTGCCCTTGGTTAATCATTTATCATTGCTACAAGCCACATTGTTAGAAGAGTCCATAATGAACTCCGTTAGCTACAGAAATGATTGATTTGGAGAGCAGGGTTCTTGTTCTGTATTGTGATCATTCATTGACAGCTGCACCTCTTTAAAAAAAAACATACCTACTGTTGAATGACTGCATTTTGATGGGAAATGCAGCTTTTTTTCTGATGTGCTAGTGAGTTTCCACTGCAGAAGCATTAGCACAAACCACAAGAGTGTGAGACAGGGTTGGCTTGCTGAGGTTTCATGTGTGAACCTGCCAGCTAGCCCAGCACTCTTCTAGAGTCACTTTTGGCAAAGTGAAGCATGAAAAGAAAATGCAGCATTGTCAGTATCTGGAAGAGGCTGAAATACTTTTGTCACGCAGGTCAGGATAGCAGGAGGGAGGATGGGTGGTGAAGGAGAAAAAGCACTGCCGAAGGGACAGAGTTAGCCTGAAATGACTCCTCCTTATGCAATGTGCTTGTCATAGGAAACAGAGGACAGTGCCCTGGTAGATTTCCCAGCTGTGATCAAAGAAATCTGTAGTAGGTTATGTAAATCACTTACTGAATAGAAAACTGTTTCTGAGAAATCCTCCTAAACCATGCAGCAAGGAACACAGAACTCCCAGGGCACGCTTTTGTGTTAAACTGGATCATAACAAACCCTGAATTGGTTTGGTTAAGGGAATTGAGGCCCCTTTGTGGACAGATTTGGTAATGCAAGTGGCTGAACCCCCATGTGGAATGACCCACAAACTGCTACAGTTCAGATCATTTACCCTGGAGAGTCTCTGTCCTCAAAGACTTTTTGTACTGATATGTATGATTCATCAGGACTTGGGAGGTCGAAGAGATGTGAGGAGACAGCGTTGTTCTTGGAGACTGCAAGACGTCTTGGTTCAGGGCTCTTGCAGTTTAAATCCTTCTGGGACCTGGGAAGGTCTAGGCGAAGCAGGTGGCTGGGCACTGGAGGTGGGAGGGAAGGAGAAAAGGATGAAACTAATTACCGAGTTGTATTTGATCATGTCAGAAACTTGAAGAGGCTGAGAGGAGAAGCCAACACCAGCTTGAGAACCTGGAACGAGAACAAAGATTCCTAAAGAGAAGACTGGAACAACTACAGGGTCCTCAGGAGATAGAGCGAATACGAATGGACAGCATTGGATCTACCATTTCCTCGGATCGCTCGGACTCGGAGCGAGGTGGGTGTCGCTGAACTAGCACTGAATCCCCAGGACTATGCATAGCGAGGGCACAAGATCCATCCATTTCTTGTCTCTTAGCTACCCCCTTCTTATGGCCTTTGGTGTTTAGGCTAGTGGTCTTGCTCACACACATGCATGTAAATGCACACAGATGCACGTATATATGAAGAGTTTAGTGTTTTGCATGAGTTCTGGAAGAAATGTTGTTATTGTCAACATGAGCTGATTTCTGTGGCATTTAAAGTGACCCCTTTCTCTGAAAAACTCTCTAAATTGCCAAAGCATTAGTTAGGAAAAATAATGTGACCACAAGATGGTAGCTAAATACCTGATGGTAAAATTGAGATACCCATTGTGCTCTTTGGTCTGCTGAATCTCTTGGCAACACAAAGAGGAAAATGTAAGATGGCATTAGTGGAACTGGAACGGATGTTGCAAAGCAGCGTCTCTCTTCTCATTCTGTAGTTGGGCCATGGTCTAACCAAGGTACTGTGGTTTAACGAAGCAGAGAGAACCAAGCAAATTTCCTCTTAAAATTCCCAGAGTCATTCTATGCCCTCCCTGCCTTTTTTTTTCCCCCCCCCCAAGCTTCCAATAGAGTTCATCTTCTCAGTTAAAACTGGGTAGATATGATCTGAATAGCTAACTGAATTAAGATAACTTTCTCTTTTTTTTTTTTTTTTTTCTTTCTTTTTTTTAAAATATCTCTGCTGTGGAGAGATATTTATGCACGCTAGATGGTTTGATATTTACTGACAGGCCCAAAGATGCTGTATAGTTTGGGTGTGAGTCTGTAGTTTAAAAAAAAAAAAATCCTTTTGGAAAATTCCTAAATGGCATGGGAACCAAGATATCTGGTTAACTAGATCTCTGCAGTCCTGGTTAACAGGGGAGGTCCCAGATGACTGGAAATTGGTAAATGTGACACCCATCTACAAGAAGGGCCAGAAGGAGGATCCGGGGAGCTACAGACCTGTCAGCCTGACCTCGGTACCAGGGAAGATGATGGAGCAGTTCATCCTGAGTGCGCTCACCAGGCATATGCAGGACAATCAGGGGATCAGGCCCAGCCAGCATGGGTTCATGAAAGGCAGGTCCTGCCTGACCAACCTGATTTCCTTCTATGACCAGGTGACCCACCTAGTGGATGAGGGAAAGGCTGTGGATGTTGTATACCTGGACTTCAGCAAAGACTTTGACAGTTTCCCACAGCATTCTCCTAGAGAAGCTGGTGGCTCCTGGCTTAGACAGGTATACTCTTCACTGGGTAAAAAAACTGTCTGGATGGCCAAGCCCAGAGAGTTGTGGTCAATGGAGTTAAATCCAGTTGCGGCTGGGTAAAAGTGGTGTCCACCAGGGCTTATTTCTGGGGCCAGTCTTGTTCAACATCTTTATCAATGACCAGGATGAGGAGATTGAGTGTACCCTTGGTGGGTTTGTGAATGACACCATACTGGGTGGGACTGTCGATCTGCTCAAGGGGAGGGACCTAGACAGGCTGGATCGATGGGCTGAGGCCAACTGTATGAGGTTCAACAAGGCCAAGTGCCAGGTCCTGCACTTGGGTCACAACAACCCCAAGCAACGCTACAGGCTTGGGGAAGAGTGGCTGGAAAGCTGCATGACAGAAAAAGACCTGGGGGCACTGGTTGACCGCCAGCTGCATATGAGCCAGCAGCGTGGCCAAGAAGGCCAATGGCATCCTGGCTTGTATCGGGAATAGTGTGACCAGCAGGAGTAGGGAAGTGATCGTGTCCCTGTACTCTGCACTGCTGAGGCTGCACCTTGAATACTGTGTTCAGTTTTGGGCCCCTCACTACAAGACCTTGCATTGCTGGAACATGTCCAGAGGAGAGCAACAAAGCTGGTGAGGGGTCTGGAGCACAAGTCTTATGAGGAGTGGCAGGTTTAGGTTGGACATTAGGAAAAATTTCTTCACCGAAAGGGTTGTCAGGCTCTGGAATGGGCTGCCCAGGGAGGTGGTTGAGTCCCCGTCCCTGGAGGTATTTAAAAGCTGGGCAGAGAAGGTGCTTAGGAACATGGTTTAGTGGTGGGATGGCAGTGTTAGGTTAACAGTTGGATTTGATGACCTTAAAGGTCTTTTCCAACCTAAACGAGTCTATGATTCTTTCTTAAAAATTAGATTTATGTTCTAAAGTCCACTGAGCATCTGTAAGAATAACCCAGATCCCCATGATAATGCACCATGATGCCTTGTATGAGTGATCACGGCTTTGGCAACCTAGTATCAAGCAAGAAGCATGTTTTGGAGTAACTTCATGCTTCCTTTCCTCTGTTGCCCTCTGTTTTATCAGTTGCTTTTTGTTTCCAACACTGGGTTAGTAGAGCTCCAAAGAAAGAGGTAGCGGAACAAGTCCAGTGCGTGGGGTGGCCCACTTGTGCTAATAGTGTGGCCTGCATGCTGGAGGAGTCAAACCCCTTTGCCAAATCCCTAAGAAAAACTCCAAGCTCATATCAAGTCTTCTTATAAATCAAGTCCACAGCCCATCCCATTCCAGGGAGAACACTGAAAGGCTTCCTGCCAGACTGCTGCTTTGTCCCTCACTGGGGGAGTCCCAGCTGCTTGCTGGCTTGAAGGGAGCAGTTGGGTCTGTGTTGCTAACCTGTCTGTTTCTCTCGTTTTCCTTTTCAGAAGAGATTGAAGTGGACGTTGAAAGCACAGAGTTCTCCCATGGAGAAGTGGACAATATCAGCACAACCAGCATCAGTGACATTGATGATCACAGCAGCTTGCAGAGTATTGGGAGTGACGAGGGTTACTCCAGCGCCAGTGTCAAGCTCTCGTTTGCTTCCTAGAACCAAGTGAGACAACAGTGCAGGGCGAATGATTTCACTGGGGTGATCAAACTGGGTCCTAGATGCCAGTATCCTCTTTCAGAATTGACATATTGACAGCTAGTCCTGGAGAGATCTGTATATAAAGCTTTTTGGGTAAAGGAAGCCTCCACA